GGCGGTAAGTACTTTTCCACGTCAAAGACCGTTTTTATAAATATGAACGTTGCCGTGGATTTTTAGCGTACGCACACTTTATAAATGAGGCCCCTGGAATCTGTCTTTGTGCATCGTCTAAAATGGAGCTGATCTGGGTATGTCAGAAAATTATGGCAATTAAAGGCAGGGTATGGGATTTTTCAAAAACACTTTATAAAACTGTTGAAAACCATTTGAAATTTGTGTCAGCACGTCATAAATAAAACCCGGCAGCAGTTTCCTTGCCGCGCCGCTCACGTCCGTAGACATGGTGTAACATTGGTTTTGCTTTGTTTCACAGAACTAATCGTTGCCTGGGCTGCGTACGTATATGTGGGGCGGAGCTATCAAAATAGGGGCAAGACCCTTTTGGGGTAGGGGCGTGTTTGTTTTGGTGATTTCAAATATCAACATTGGCTACCAGAAATCGCTTACTCTGCCTTTAACAAGAAAAAGAACCGCATGGTGTCCTCCATTTTCTTTTATTTAAATTTCTTTACAAATCCGCTTGTAGATACATATTTCACAAGTATCAGAAAACTCTAATCACAGAGAACATAAATTAAATGTAAAAAAACATAAGAAAATATATTCACTAATATCAGTAATCTTTCATTAAAGAACATCACATTTACATTCAAAATGACTTGGCCATCAGTGTAACATATAACAGTATAGCATCTAAACACTTTCATCCTTAAATTGCTTTGAACTAATTTATTCAAATGCATCTGAGAACTGAAGTCAATGCTAGTAGGGAAGCTGAAAACAAAAGTGAATGGAAAAATACAATTCATATTGTATTCAGCATATGCTTAGTGAAATACAACCCATGAGAGTTCAGGAACACGAACACCCTGCTCTTCACTTTCATGGCATGAGTGGCTTTGACATTTTGTCCTCTAGTTTCTTTTACATAGTTCTCCGTTTATACGTCTGCAAGGACAGAAAAGTCTTTTTTTAGAAAAGAAAGGCGATTCATAGGGTCCACACACATCCAAAAAGAGCCATGACTATCGGATGTGGTGGATAAATGTTTGTCCTGATGTCACGGTGTCAGTGGAAGGATGCTGTTGTGTCGAGGGGGGGTGGGTTGGTTAGTAATACTGAATCTCTGGAGCTCCATCGGTAAAGCGTTCGCTCTCTGAGTCTTTGAGAAGCAGCTTCCTCATCTCTGTTCATCTCTGCATGCTTCTGGTATTGCCTCTGAAACACCGGCCAAAACTGATCTTCCTGCAACAAACAGAAAAGGAGAGAGTGTATAATTTTCATGTAATTTGCTGGGTTTCAAAGCAGCAAGGTTTTACTTGCTGGAACTATTGGACATATTAATATGTGTGACTTTTTTCTTCCATAAAACACAAAAGGTTCATTTCTGGTTAGGTTATACTGCCAATACTTGTAGAAACAATTTGAATGAACACCACAGCAGCTTAAGTAGCAAATTTAGCAAAAAACTAAATTTGTGTCACTGCCAATACTTTTGGCCACGACTGTATATATACAATATGGTGGTTCCTTTTTGAAGATCCCTCTCCCATTAACTGTAATTAAGTGCGTGAATGACGGTATATTTTTAAAAAATGTCCCCTTTTACAGAAGAAAGTCTAATGGGTTAGTGAGTAAATTATGACTTTCATTTTTTGGGTAAGATATTCCTCTATGCTTTACAAAGGCAAAATCAGCTGAATGGGATCTGTATCTGTAGAATTGAAGTCTCACCAGAGTCTGTTGCAGAGATGCAGGGACGTCACGCCGCACCTTCTTGGGTTTTGCACAGTACGACTCCAAATGCTGGAGGTCACATCCACGCACACAACACTGCTCTACGATCCCTTTCCCACGAGAGCGAGGACTGCCGCTACGGGCTGCTCCAGGTTTGCCTAACCGCCAACAGACACAAAGCAAAATGGTTTTAATGCCAGTTACATTAATGTGAGTTCGCTGCAACTAGCAAACTGCCAAAATGGGGTCGTGCAGGACAAATTATGCCTTGTATTCTCTTTAAAATATATCATGCGCTTAATAAAACTACAATTGAACACACAAAAGTTCAAAAATTTGGGGTCAGTTAATTTTTTTTAATAGAATTTGTTACTTTTTTATTCAGTAAAGACTCATTAAATTGATCAAAAGTGAGTTAATACATTTACATAAATATATCAAATGTAAGAAAATCAAAATAATCATGATATATTTATCAAATAAAAGCTGTTATTTTTAACTTGGAATGATTTCGGAAGGATCATGTGACATTGAAGACTAGGTTTTACTTGCTGGAACTATTGGACATATTAATATGTGTGACTTTTTTCTTCCATAAAACACAAAAGGTTCATTTCTGGTTAGGTTAATTAACAATATCCTGAACCTTTTTTAAAACATAACAAAAGTGAATGAGAAATTATCAAATTCTAAATGGACAAAAATGGCCATGTAGTATTATATAACTCATGCACAATATTCTTGTGAAGTCATATGTGAGGAATAAACTAAAATTTGTTATTTTTCACTGAAAATCTTGATATTCGCTCAAGGTCCCTTTGGTATGTTCATTAAAGTTCAAGTGAGAGGCAGTTTATGTCCAATTCATGAACCAAAGGCATACAGATATATATAAATTAAGTGCGTGAATGACGGTATATTTTTAAAAAATGTCCCCTTTTACAGAAGAAAGTCTAATGGGTTAGTGAGTAAATTATGACTTTCATTTTTTGGGTAAGATATTCCTCTATGCTTTACAAAGGCAAAATCAGCTGAATGGGATCTGTATCTGTAGAATTGAAGTCTCACCAGAGTCTGTTGCAGAGATGCAGGGACGTCACGCCGCACCTTCTTGGGTTTTGCACAGTACGACTCCAAATGCTGGAGGTCACATCCACGCACACAACACTGCTCTACGATCCCTTTCCCACGAGAGCGAGGACTGCCGCTACGGGCTGCTCCAGGTTTGCCTAACCGCCAACAGACACAAAGCAAAATGGTTTTAATGCCAGTTACATTAATGTGAGTTCGCTGCAACTAGCAAACTGCCAAAATGGGGTCGTGCAGGACAAATTATGCCTTGTATTCTCTTTAAAATATATCATGCGCTTAATAAAACTACAATTGAACACACAAAAGTTCAAAAATTTGGGGTCAGTTAATTTTTTTTAATAGAATTTGTTACTTTTTTATTCAGTAAAGACTCATTAAATTGATCAAAAGTGAGTTAATACATTTACATAAATATATCAAATGTAAGAAAATCAAAATAATCATGATATATTTATCAAATAAAAGCTGTTATTTTTAACTTGGAATGATTTCGGAAGGATCATGTGACATTGAAGACTAGAGTAATGATGCTGAAAATACAGTTTTGCATCACAGGAATAAATTACATTTTCAAATATTTTCAAATAGAAAACAGCTATTTGAAATTGTAATAATAGTTGACAGTGTTACTGTAATTTTAATCAATTAAAAAACTTTTGAATGGTGTGTATATAGTTTATGTAGCCCACTATTAGGATTTAAATTTTTTGTCAAATTGCTGAAATAATAAGATATTGTAAGACCGTGTCATAATGTTCCTTTTGAGAAAATGAGAGAGAAATGTGTCAAGGTGGCCTTGGATATGGAACAGGGTGAAAGGACCTCAGTTAGCAGAAATAAAAAAATGTTGATATCAACACCCACAAATCAAGAGTACATGTTGGTGTGGTAACTTATGCCATTTATTAAATGTTTCATATCAAAAACTATAACTTCACACCACCTACAACAGCAGATGATTACTGTTTGCTATTGGTTGGTTGATTTGCATCAACACCATAATGATAACGGCTTGTCTTGATAACACTGTCTGTATCTTCAGGGCAAGGCCACTTTTAATACACTGATATTAAGTGTTATGAATATAATGTTATGAGTGAGCTTAATGATTTAGAGACATGCAAGTCACTGTGCTCCCACCAAACGGTACATGATAAGTAACCATGTCACGGTTTGACTCACACAATCAACACACACATGTTTGAAACCAGATTTGTTTCTACAGTATCCAAACACAGGATTTTAGAAGTGTAAGATGAAGTTTGTAAGTGACTCTCACCTCTGTAAAAGCCACGGTCCCCACACACAAACTCCAGGTCAGCAACTAGTTCTCGTCCACAGCGTGCTTTGGCAGCCTCGCCGGCGTCTGGCAGGATCAGGACGCAGTACAGGGAATAGAGGACACACACACTTCGCCAGCTGGGCACCTGCTTCACCAGAAACAAACTCTCAGCCACCTGCATCTTATCGGACAGATACACTCCTTTCTGTCAAAGCAATGGATACAATGCTTGATGGATGACGCTCTGAATACATTTTGTTTTGCAAACCTTACTGATTTGAAAGCATGTACGAAAAGTCCAGATGGCTTTGCTCTGCACGATGCTTTGAATACAGATTGCATGTTGCCTTACACTCATAAAAATAAAGGTTCCAAAAGGGTGTTTTTGCAGCGATTCTATAGAGACTTTCAATGAATAGTGCTTTTTTCTGTAGAACTTTTTAATAATCTAAAGAACCACCACTGATGTTCAGGGTCTTCGTGGAACCATCAATTCCAATAAAGAACCTTTATTTTAAGACAAAAAAACTGCTGACTCAGAAAATGACCTTTTGCAAAAGCATAAACTGTTTTGACCTTTTGATATGATGGCGTGGATTGCAGATCTATATTTTTCTACATCCCACACGACAAATTGACGTCATAATAGCTCCCTAACATGCAAACCTGCATTGGGGGCAGTAATTGTTAGTCACAAAAAGGTAATTTGACTCATCCATGGAAACTAGTCATTTAGCCAAAAAAGGAAAGTTTTTTTTTTGTCTAACTTTTATGGAGAATTGAGTCTAAATTCCCCAAAATAAGGTAAAAAAACAGCATGAAGTGGTCTTTTCCCCCCTAATTCTATATACACCCAGATAATGTGCAACAGGTGTAGTGGTCCTTAATATGAAAGCCTGATCCTGGTGCCTCCCACTACAATACAATTTTTCTGTGTAAGTGCATGTGGAGTCTTACTTTCAGCAGGAATCCTCTTAGCATCTGAAGCCGTCTGGCATGACAGGTTGGCATTCCGTCTGATGGCATGTCTATTTTTTATGGTTTGGTCTCTCTAAAGAGCTACTGACGTTTTTACTCGGGTGTGCTCTTATAGGAGGACCAGGAGGGGATGGGCCAACTGCACACACACACACACGGACACATCCTAGCCTTCCGCTACACACAGACAACTCCTAATCGCAAAGCTAGTCTTTTATTGGAGACGCATGAAACTACAAAAGAACTCTGATTAATAAACAACAACAAACTAAAACCGACATCCTAATGTCATCCATCTGAGCGTTTATAGCTCAGTAATGTAAAAGGGATGAATTTATCTGACGGATATTATTCATTTAGAAATCCTTCATTGTGTACAAGCATATACAGCTTTGAATTGTCATCATTATCTTATATAACGCTGGTTTGGAGATTTTCTGCAGCATGACATTGAAATCCATCTTAAGAGTGACGACAATGGAGGAAGAAGTTATCACGAGTATATCTCAGCAAGAAGCCGGTTAAGTGATTTTGGAGTGTGTAGGCTTCAGCTGGAATGATAAATGAAACAAAGATAGATGTAGGAACGCATTCAGAGCCAATCAGATAGAACGCACTTACAGATAAAATAAAGACAAAACGTTATGTTAACAGTCAGATGTGTGGGTACATTATTAACTGGAGGTACGATGTACAGCAGTTGGTTTACATAATGAAATGACTAATGCTCAGTATGACATAAATCCTTTTATTTGAACTGAGAATGAAGCATTTTAATTTTAGCAGCTAAACCAAACATTGCTATTCATAAATTATTCACCGTATTTATTGCACAAACACATAATATTCTTAAATGTGTCTCTTATGGTGTGAAAATTATTATTTTGCATTTATATTTTAATTAAATGACAATATTTGTGCTGTCAAATATTGAACAACTGAATTAACAAACTTGTTCATCTTAAAGGGATAGTTCACCCAAAAATGGAAATTCTGTCATCATTTACTCACCCTTAAGTTGTCCCAAACCTGTATACATTTCTTCTGCAGCTGAAAACAAAAGAAAATATTTTGAAGAATGTGGGTAACCACACAGTCCCCTTTGACCTACATAGTATGGGGACCAGCAACTACCCACATTCTTCAAAAATATCTTCTTTTGTGTTCAGCAGAAGGAAGAAAGTCATTCAGATTTGGAACAACTTCAGGGTGACTAAATGATGACTGAATTTTCATTTTTGAGTGAACTATTCCTTTAAGCTTTATGACATTCTTCTGCTGCTCAAATAATATGATGCACAAGGAACTTTTATACCTCCTGAACAGACATCTTTGGCACAGTCGGATCCTCTAAATCTGATCCGTCGGCTTTAAGTTAAAGATGCTGAGTGATGCTTCCTTCTGTCTCAGCCGAACTCGTAGGTGGTTGATTCTCTCTTCCTGGGCCAACTGTTCAAAATCAAATGCAAGACAGCTCTCAGCCCTGGGGAGCAATGCGCCCTCTAAACGCTCATTGTCATCCTCAGATGTCTCTCTTTGTCCTCCTGCTGCTGCTGCTGCTTCGGGCTGTTCGGAGATGCCAGAAGATGTGTGGTTGATCTGCTGGAGGATACTGGGCAGGGAACTAGACGTCTCCTGACCAGACACCAGATCCTCAGGAGATTTAGGTGTGCTACTCCGTGACCTGGACTCTTCTTCCTGTGAATTCAAAGGCAAAATTCATTAGGTTTTGAAAGATTTAAAACATTACTTAATCACTTTTAAAGTTGTGAACAATTTGTTTTTATACAGATTTATAGGTACTGTAAGGGATTTCAGTCCGAAAAAGTTATGTCCAGATCAGGGAGAGTCGCCACACCCTAGCCTCCCCCGATTGACAGGCAGAAAACATTTCTGACTGGCTAAGTTTTTCAATTAGTTAAAAAAGACAGGACTGACAATTATGATTTTTCAGGACACCTATTTTAGCTCTCAGGACATTTTATGCCTGTCATTCCTTAAAAAAAATAAATAATTTAAAGCACCCGTATTCATATAAAAATATCATGTCTCTCTTTAAAACCTAGTTTATACAGTGTAAAATAAAAGATTAAAGCTTGACCTTTTGACACTCTTTGTCTGTACAGCATTGTTCAGGCATTTCTTCAGAGACTTTGTGCAAAAGAGGTAAAATCTGTGTGTTAATGTCAAGATCTCTGACTGGAGTCTGAACATCCTGACTCTGTGGATTGGAAAGAGACATGCAACAATCAGAAATAAAAAAAAAAGGACTCTTATCAAAAGATTGCCTAAAGCAAATAATGCACAATATATCACAAAAAGTAAAGTGAATCATTACATTTTTTTTCTAAAAAACAAAAATCACTAAAAAACTTTTTTTTCCAGAACCTTTATAGAGTAAAAAGATTCAAGTAAAAAGGGTATCATACACTAATTTATCTGACAGATCATTTATGTAGAGGCATAAACAGCTTTAAATTGTCCTCATGATCATATTTGAAGCCGCTTTAAAGATTCCCTGCAGCATGACAATGAAATCCATCTTAAGAGTGATGATAACAGAGAAAAAAGTTATCATGAGTGTATCTCTACAGAAGACAACACTGTCTTTATTCAGCTCAAGTCAGTTCAATGTTCATTCGATTCAGTTCAATAACAGTGTCGATGTTGCAAAGTTAGTGTCATTATCCAGCTTATTTCAGTTCTAATTTTGTTGTCATCTGACACTGTCAGTGCAGTTAAAGGGATAGTTCACCCAAAAATAAGAATTCTGTCATCATTTACTTACCCTCAAGTTGTTCCAAACCTGTATAATTTTCTTTCTTCTGTATGAAAAAAAAAATACCAACATTCTTCAAAATATTTTCGTTTTGTGTTCAACAAAAGAAAGAAACTTATACAGGTTTGGAACAACTTGAGGGTAAGTAAATGATCAAATTTAAATTTTTGGGTGAACTATGCCTTTAAATCTACAAGATTACAAATGAATATTAATTCAAATTAATCAGAATCACCATGATAACTTCACATCTACACCTCCTGGCATTTATACCTTTTCTCAGGACAGACTGAAAAATATAATAAAAGAGGGAAATGTCCTACCTTGCTCTGCTGTGGTCTGGGTGAAGTTTCCAGGGGTGTTTGTGCTTGACATCTAGATGTGTTTAGTTGCTTCTGTTGACTGGGAGAAACAGGGCACACACCTGGAGGTGCTGAGGGAGAGTTTTGTAATCTCACTCGCCTCACTGAGAGGAAGATCTGGCCATTATATAGAATCATGGCATTTCGCCGAACATGAGAATCCCTGATGCTGGGCAGAGAGGCAGCTTCATTTTCCAGCCCGGAAAATTGTATTTCAGGCTTATGTGCTTTTAAAATCGTTCTTAAGGCCTTAAAGGCAGTGATGCTGGAACTCACAACAGGCAGCGAAAACTGACCTGGAGTTACTTTGGAGACCAGTTGCCTCTGGCTCAGTGGGACCAGTTCTCTGCTGTCCTTGCCCACAGCCACTTCTTTTTCCCGCAGCTCAACCGGACAGATCCACGTCACTGTCTGCGGCATCTGTTTCTCTGCTCCATGTGGAAACAGCGCGACACTGATCTTCCTGGCTGTGGAGCTGGACAGGGACTGCAGAGGCATGTTTTTGACACATGCTTCCTTGGGAATGTAAACCACAAAGTTCTCCATGACATTCAGAAGAGTTTGAACCTGTGGGATTGGTTGAATAAAGCTTTCATATTATTGCAATCTGCTGGTTTATGTATGAGTATATTATAGCTGCGCATTTTTTCACTAAATACTTAACATGTAGAGGTGGCAAAAATGACAGCGATATGACTTTTTAAAGACAACGGTATATTAATTTATTATATTTTTACAGTGTCAACTGTATGATATTTTGTCTGAAACTGCTGTTATCAGGGTGAATTTATCGTTAAGAACGACCAACGATCACTCAGCTGACCAAATGCAGACAGGAAACATATAGCAAACCAAACTAAAAACAATTATCATGTACCTAAAATTGGTCACTTGACTCGAAGTATAAGCGGTACGCTCATGTCTTCACACCAAAGACCACCAATGTAATTCACGCCGGACAAATATAAACCTGTTTCTTTTGAACATACGCAGACAGGTACAACTCTCTGCACTCAGCGAGGACTTCCGGAGATAACTTCCGGAGTTTGATGTCAAAATAAAAGTCATTGTTGTAAAAGTTTAATGTAATTCGATACAGAAGTAGAACGCGGACAAAAAGTAAAACAGTTGGTAAACGTTTAATTAATCATTGTTATGTCATTTACCAATTTATTCACTGTTTTACTTATTGTAAATAACTAATCTGACGTCCACACCACTGCACGATAATGTCGTGCGCTGCTGTCAGTTCCTGCTCGTTAAAGTAGGGCGGTCTCCGATTGGCTGTCAGTGATTTTATCATTCATCATTTGGAAAAAAAAATCACAAAAACTGAAGTGTAAAACAAATAATATAAGGGAAAAAAGCAATACAAAGATATTTTAGATGATTATTTACGTTGTTTCCTAGTACTATACAAACTTTCCTTTTCTCTCGTGTTTATCAGGTTGGTAATAATGGCAGTTATTAGCGCTCCATGGCTTCTATTCATAAGTTCTCTTTGTAAATTATATTTGATCGAATTATTATAATCATAACCTGATTATAATAGTTAACTGTTAAAATGCAAATGTTCTAGAACAGTTTTAACCTATTTACAATATTCTTTTTTTAGGCCGAGAAGTAATGAAAAAGTTAGTTTACCTTCAAGCCTGACAACAATCAGTCTGTCACTGTTCTATGACCCAAGAAAGAGCTGGAATAATCGAGCGTGATGCATAAACAAACTTATGGTAAATCATGCAGATGTTTAATTACTTTGTATACAAGTTTAAACGATTAAAGGGTTCCACATGATCAAAAATCTTTGCTTGTGTATCTGAACATTTTCTAGACCCATAAACGCCATATTTTAAGCACACAGTCGCCCGTTCTGATGGGTAAGTGATGAAGTAATTTATATTTGCCATCAAACGCTTTCTAAGTATTTATTTTCTGACATATTTACGTCTTGCTGACATAACACATCATAAAAAAATAACTGATATTTCCTAAATCCTGAAAATGTCTTTCCTTTCTTTTTGAACAGTGGAATATGTCGTGTTTTCAGGAATAGGTGAGATGCTCTTCAAAGTCAAGACCAATGCTCTTGCACCGTTGCCTCTTTTGTCCGTCATTTCCAGCAAGTATTGTAAGATTTTCCTCCAATGGTTAGATTTTATTTTATTTATGCTGCTGATATATATTCTGTAATTTCACTTCCTCTTTTAATTGGACATACACATCACACTCTACCACAGAAAACAGAGAGAGGGGCAATGAAAACATAGACACGGATTTTAACAACAGCAAACAAACAAACAAACAAATACACATACATACAGACTTATGTCATACATACAAACATACTTAGTTATATAAAGCTAAACGATGAAGTATCATAACTGGAGTATAGTAACTGTAGTATTAATTGCTGTAGTTTGAGCAGAAATATAACCACTATAATAATCGGAACAATAATGTTATTAATTAAAAGGCGAAAGGAGTAATCCCCAAATAAACTTTTTTTTTTCTCTCAAAATCTTTAGCCAGAGTCCACACCTACATACACGTTGATCCATCTCGTCGTTTTGGGTACTTTTTCAAGTGCAACATACTGTATGAGAACATAAATCGGTCACTTTCATGCGGCGCGGGATTGTCTTTTGGTCACACAAGATACTGTAAAGAACCACTGAACATTTTGAAGCAGTGAATCTGTGATAGTGATAGGAACAAAGATTAGGTACAGAAACAAGCGTTTCTCCATCTGGCTGGCAGTCTCAACTGGCTGACCTCTGACCTTCAGAGGCACGTCTCCAAGCTATGCAGAGGGCTCGCGGGGCAGGGGGAAACACTCGAGCTCAGGTAGACGTGGCTCTCGGTGGCGTTGTTGTTGCAGTTGAGGGTGACTGGCAGACTCTGCTGCCTCAGCGGGCGGGGCGGGTAGCGGGATCGCGGAGGCCTCTGGGGCTCCTGGGGCTGAGAGTGAGGGCTGGGGTGACGAAGCGCCACACACACGTGGTTATGGTTGGAGCGTTCCGATTCATCGTCCACGTCCGTCTCGTCGATCAGGG